GACGTCGGAGTAGAGGATGAAGAACCCAGTGCAGCCTCCATTTCCAGCTCATTGCCCGAAGGAGACCCAACCACCTCGTCACTCTTCATCTTTTCACCTACAACCGGCAACGTCCACTTGCTTTCCTGCGTATCCAGGCAGTAGTAATATTGTCTCCCATCTTCATGGAAGTGCCATTCCCACGTTGTCCCATCACACGCTTTGATCAGATGCTCATCTTTCCGAAAACCATCCCTTTCAGAGACTTGACGCATCTCATCCTCTTCTTCTGACAACTGGCGCAACCTTTCAGCCTCCATCTGTAAGATCTCCTCCTCCCCCATGGCGTATTCAGCAGTTGGTGCAGCTTCAAAGCTGTCCGCACCCTTCTGTTCGTAACCGCTTCCACCACCCAGGGAACTCGCCGAGGGATCCCCTTTAATCTTGTTCAGAGGCCTCCTGGCCGCTTGCAGCACTTCTCCAATCAGATCGGTCTGAGACCCTTGGTCTACCATTCGGCCCGAAGTCGAAGTCGACGGCTGATACCCATGTTTTTGCAACACGCGTAAAACAGTCACCTCCATTTCACGATCTATACCACCAGTCGCGTCCCAGTTCCTTTTTTCACCAGGCTTTGGCGATACAGAGACAGCACGTCCTTCAGCTTCAGCATTGCTAACCATATCCACATTGGGATTCATACCCACATTGGGGTCTTCTGCAACCAAGGCTTCTTCCAGATGTTCTTCAGCGCCAGGAATCACCTCTTCCAGCACCGCTCTTTCACCCAGAGACTCAGCTGCACCATTTCCAGCTCCACCATTCTGTCCACCATCCGAGGAAGGCTGGAGCCATCGCTTGGGTGAAGGCATTGCTTCTTGATCCCAAAAACCTTTAAGAGAACACTCAACCGCAGGGAACCTAATTTGGGCTCATAACCTACGGGGGCAACCGAAAGGGAACAGGGAAAGAAACCAACCCTCAACAGTCGCCTATATGGATTTCCCAGATCGAACCAGAAACAAGAACACCCGACCCTAAGGAGGCAGGATAAGGGAGAAGGGACGGGACTACTCCAACCCGTTAAACCCAACCCCAAGCGTACGTACTTTTTCAACAAAAGCTGACGGCTCTTGGCCATCTTGAGCCAAGAAGGATTTCCGGGTACGTTGACCCTTCCAACACCCAACACTAACTCCTTTCTACAATACCAGTTGCAGCTCCGCACCCTAAACCCTAAACCCTAAACCCTAAACCCTAAACCCTAAACCCTAAACCCTAAACCCCAAACTTCACTGAACCCTAAACCCTAAACCCTAAACCTCAACCCGTGGTATAGCTTTGGCCTCGTCTCTCTTGCCATGGCTAGGGTTTAGGGTTTAGGGTTTAGTCAGCAGGCGTGGTCTCTCCAAAGCATGCGAAAACATGTATATGTGTACGGGCCTGTTTCATCAAAATACAAACGCCGAAACGACAACTTTAACCCTGCGCCCTATGCCCTACATTGGTGAAGTCTGCTAGGGCCCTGAGTAGCCTGGGAATAGCACGAAGCCTATGTTCCAGTCGATTGCTCGTTACAAGGTTTCCAAGGGTTTAGAACTTGGGATGGAGGGTTTAGGGTTTGGGGTTTGGGGTTTAGGGTTTAAGGTTTGTAGGGCTTAGAGTTTAGGGTTTAGGGCTTCGAGTCTGCCCTAAAAGAATGCGTAGCGTGTGGCTTAAGGCGGTGAGGAGGGCTTGCGCATGAAGCTCAGAGCGGCTAAGGGCCCTTACCAGAGCTCAACCCTAAACCCTGAACCCCTACAGGTTAGGGTCAAGGGTTTACAAATGTTACAAACCCTAAAACCTTGTGGTTTAAGGTTTACGTTTAGGGCTTTTAAGGCCTAAACCCTTATCAAGTTTAAGGTTTAGGGCTTTCAAAGCCCAAACCCTTAAGGTTTAGGGTATCAGGGCTTATAAACCCTAACCCCTTTCCACCACCAGCGCCTCTGAGTAGTAGTGCGGCGCATAGACTGCGGTGTTGGCGACCTTGCAGTTTTGAACTGGGGTCTATGTTGTGTAGGGTTTCGGGTTTAGAGTTTAGGGTTGTAGATGGGTTCAGGGTTTGCCTAAACCTCAAGTCACCCACAATTATGGCCTACACGCCCTTGCTTTTGCGGTTGAAGGTTTAGCGTATAGGCCTAAACCCTAAACCCTAAACCCCAAACCCTAACCCTAAACCCTATAAACCCTAAACCCTAAACCCCCGTTTACTCTCAGCACTCTGGAGGAGAACATCACTCTTATTCAGCAGGCAGTTCTTTAAAAGTCGGCGCCTTGTTTCGGCACGTTGGGGATACCCTCCTCAATACATATATGAGGGTTTTCAAACATAGGGTTCCCCGTCTTTATAGGGTTCTTTAGGGAGCAGGGTTCAAGGACCCTACCCTGGGCATCCTTTATTGATTGTAATCAATAAACGTCATGGTAAATATATTGATATTGATTCCTTGCTTCCGAATTGATTTTTTCAATTAGAACTTAACATGCTGCATATTGATTTGATTTGGTATACAAATAGTGTACATTTGTTGATTTTTATTTTGATTTTTTTATTGATTTGGATATTGATTTTCTGTTTTGCTTCGGAGTGCCGGTGCCTGCATTCATGAGCCTCGTTTGCATCGGCTCAAATCGAGAGGGAGGCCGGTAGGTTTTTGTTAAATTTCACCAGCGGCGGCCTTGCTCGAGAAGGCGGCCAGAAGGTTTGTGTTTGACCAGGGCGGCCTTGCTAAAAGGCTGCCTTGGAGCTGCCACCATGGCGGTTGGAAAAGGTGGCGCCCGGCACTTTGCGAAACCGCATGTTGACGAGGGATTGTTGCTCAAGGTGCTGAGCAGCAATGCCGAAATAGTGGGGAGCATGGGTGCTTACGAATCCGTGAGCAAATCCCAAGCCTGCAACCCACAAGGGTTGATCCGAGTCCTGCCCTTGGTCAAAGGGTTGCTTCGCTTGGAGCCCACCTGCGAAGTGCACCCAGGCAATCTGAGAAGTGCCCTCCTCAACCTGCTCATGCAGGAGCCGGCTCTGAATCAGACGAAGTTCAATGGGAACACGTGGTGCAATACGCGGCTCGAAAGACTCGGAGTGATCTTGAGTCATTTCCGGAGACTGAGGCTCTCCGACGACTTGAGAGCCTGTGCAAGCAAGCTGACCTCTTGCGATTTTTTGCGACTCCAGTCCGTCGTGGAGTCAATCGTTGTGAAAGCAGAAACGAATAAAGAGAGGCCGCCTGAGAAAAGGCTTCCTGCAGCAAAGGGCGAGGAGCTCGAGGAGGGGCCACCGAAAAGGAGGCTGTCAGCAAAAGTGTCCCTGGACTCGGACGGCTGGCCGAAGTGCTTCCAAGAGGAGTCGCTCGGGGAGGGAGCCTTGGTGAAAGGTTCCGGTGACGAGGCTCTGGCCAGTGCAGAGGAGACTGCAGTTCCGGCCCTGCCAGAAGCAAGGCAGCCCCACTTCCTGAAACGAAGGGTTGGGAGGCTGGCTAAGGCCGGAGCTGCCGCCAACCCTTCGTTGGATGGCTCGGCCTTGAGAGCAACTATGGGCTTTAGCCCTTGCGAAAAGGGCAAAAAGGGCAAGGCACGACGTGGCCGAAAGAAAAAGAGCTCGGGGCCTGCTGCTTTGAGGAAGCCTGCCGCTAGCGAGGGCCTCCCGCCTTGCAAGAAGCCTGCAGCGAAGGAGAGCTTCCTTGCTGCGGAAAGGAAGGGCATCCTTCAGAAAAGGAAGCCTTGGGTGAAGCTGAAGGTGACGTATGCCTCCAAACCGGAGAGGGCCTACATCCAGGGCTGCAGCGGCCCGGGTGAAAAGAAAAGGCTCATCGTCGAAGTCTCCCGATACAGATCCGAATTGTATCGTGAACACATTGAAACCCTGTATAAGTTGTTGCAGGATGAGCATCTCACCAAGGCGGAAGCCATGGAGATGAAGGAGGAGCTTTGCAACAACGAGTGAGCTCTTCCGAAAAAGCCCTTGATGAAAGGGCCCTGTCACCTTGGGAAAAGGTTTCAGGCCTGCAACTTCTTGTCGCTAGCCCTTGCTAAAAGGGCTCTGTGACCTTGGGAAAAGGTTTGAAGCCTGCAACCTCTTGTCGCAAGCCCTTAAGCTAGCTGAAAAGGCTCTGTGACCTTGAGGAAAGGTTGCAGGGCTGCAGCACTGGCCCCTGACCCTGAACCTTGGGAAAAGGTTTGAGGGCTGCAGGGCTGGCCCCACGGCCCTTTAACTTTGAGCTACCTCGAGAAAAGGTAGCCGCTCGTCAGGTAGCCTCGACAGCTGCAAGCAGCAGTGTGTTTTTGAAGAAAAAGAGCTGAAGCCTGGGAAGGGTTTAGTTTAGGGTTTAGGGTGGCGGTTAGGGTTTAGGCTTTAGGGTTTAGGGTAGCGGCTTAAAGGGCTCAGGGGAAAGAGAGAGGTAGGTGGAGAGGAGCGGGACTGAAAAGAGAAGAGTAGGGAGAAGACTAGAGGCAAAGAGTAGGAGTAGGAGATGGTAGGAGCAGGAGTAGGAGTAGGAGTAGGACTATGGAGAGAAGAGAGACTGTGGAGAAGAGTAGGGAGAAGAGGATAGGAGGAAGAGTAGGAGTACGATCAGGAGTAGGAGTAGGGGTAGAGGTAGGGGTAGGGGTAGCAGTCGGAGTCGGAGTAGGAGTAGGGGTAGGAGTAGGAGTAGGAGTAGGCTTGGGGTGGGGGTAGGAGTAGGAGCAGGACTGGAAGCAGGGAGAGAAGAGAGAGGGCTGAGAAGAGTAGGAAAAAGTAGGCGGAAGCAGATGTAGAAGCAGGGGTTGGAGTAGGAATAGGAAAACTAGAGTAGGAAGGGAGAGAAGAGAGAGTGTGGAGGAGAGTAGGGAGAAGTAGGAGTGGGAGGAGTAGGGTCAGGCTTCAGGCCTCAGGCAGGGTCGAGGCAGGCAGGCTGGTCAAGGCAGGCAAGAAAGGTTCAGGCCCGAAGCTCCCTGCCTCCGCCGCAGCTTTTGGCTTAAGTGTACAGCTAGTGTGGCCCGCCATGTCTTGGTGGGGCTGGAGCTCGTGGAGCTGGAGCCAGTCCGACGACTGGGACTGGCAGCAGAACAGATGGTGGTGGGAAGGTTACCAAGCTGCCCTTGATGAAAGGGCGGCTTGGTTGTGGCAGGAGGAGGAGGACCGGAGGACGGCTCAGTGGTACCAGGAGGAGGAAGACCGAAAGTGGTGGCAGGAGGAGGAAGGGAGCAAAGCTGCCCTTGCTGAAAGGGCACTGCAGGAGGGGGTTATAGGAAGGGTGCCGCCGGAGGTGATAGGAGGTGGCACCGGCAGCAAGAAGAAAAAAAGAAACAACAAGGGCCGTGTTGCAGGCTCCGGCACGGTCAGCAATGCCCGGAGACTGGAGTTTCAGAAAAAAGGCTTGCAAAGAAGGCTGGAGCGGGAGGAGGCAGAGAGGAAAGCTCAAGAGGAGGCGGAGGAAGAGGAGGGAGACGACGACGGAGACGACGACGACAAGAAGGAAAAGAAGAAAGTCACCCTTGTTGAAAGGGCGGCTCGACAGGCTCGAGAGTTCGGGCCAAGCGAGAAGCAGAACGAGAAGGAGGCTGCTGTCCTGGGCAGTGGCGACGTCGACAGGTCGTCCAGCTCCAGCAGCAGTCTGCTGGACACCACCCTTGATAAAAGGGAGAAGAAGAAGGCCAAGACCCCAGACGAAGCAGCTTCTGAGAGGGCTGAAGAGCTGAAGGCTGCCCTTGCTGAAAGGGCCCCTGCTGCTTTCTCGAAGTCTCCAAGGGGCAGTGTGGCTCTGGCTGTGAAGACAAAGAAGGAGGAGGAGGAGGCTGCCCTTGCTGAAAGGGCGGCCCGAAGGCAGAAAAAGTTCCAAGAGTCCAAGACTGGACTCTACTTGGACGACGAAGAGGAAAAGGAGGAGGACAAAGTCAAAGAGGAGAAGGAGTCGCCGCCTGGCTCTGTCACGGTGGACTCGGTGACAAGTGCCTCGGTGCCGGACCATGCCTCGATGGAGGCCTCCTCGGCGGCTCGGTCTAGGGGCCACGGAGAGTCCTTGGGCAAAGGACCGCAGACGTGGCAGGTGAAGTTTCCGGCCGCCCTTGGTAAAAGGGTGGCCATCGACTTCCACCACGTCTTGGAGGTCGAAGGTGCCTGCTAAAGCAGGGTGCCCACAGAGAATATCTCGGCGGTGCAAGCCTTGCGAGAAAGTGGCTACTGGGTCTGCCTGCTCTCCTACTCCGGTCGCGACAGAGAGGCGGAGACCCGGCGGACCCTGAAGGCCCTGGAGGAGCAGCACGGCCTGGTCTTTGACGACAAGAGGTTCGTGAGGGCCCACCTTGGTAAAAGGGGGAAAGCACAGCTGTGCAAGACCCTCGCGATCACGGACCTCTTCGATGATCGCGACGACATCTTGTGGGAGGCTTCGACTTTGGGCATTACGGACTGGGCGATACGTAAGGCCCGGCAGCACCACTACGGCCATGCAAGGGCCTACAACACCCTCGCCGATGCCGTGGAGGCTTTCTTGGAAAGCAAGCAAGACAAGTGATAGCCTCCACGGGCCCTTGTTAAAAGGGCCGGCAGGCCTTGATAAAAGGCATGTTGCATCGAGCGAGGGTGTAGCAGCAGCCTCCCACAGATGCCTTGATAAAAGGCATCATGCAGCCAAACCGCCCTTGAGAAAAGGGCCGTTCGACCCTTGATGAAAGGGTCTCCGGAGCCTTGAGAAAGGCTCCTTGTAGCCTAGCTACAAGCTGGTGCTCGAGGGCAGCTTATGAATTAAGTATAAGTAGGCCTAAGCCTCAACCCTAGCTATGCAATACATGTAAACCATAAGACCCTAAAGCCTGAAACCCTTAGTAAGTATAAGCTGCTCGAGGCCACCAGCTCAGAAGTTTCACCCAAGACAGCTCGGCTTTTCGAGCCTAAACAGGGGTCTGGGGAGGGTTGGGGTGGTTTCAGGTTTAGGGTTTAGATGTTCGAGGTTTTAGGTTTAAGGCCTTAGGGTTTACAGGTTTAGGGTTTAGGCTCTAGGGTTCAGGGATTGAGGTTTAGGGTCGGTTCCGGATTTAGGGTTTGGGGTTTAAGGTTTAGGGTGGAAAGATTAGGCTTTAGAGGTTTGGGTTTTGAGGTTTAAGGACTTAGGGTTTACAGGTTTAGGGTTTAGGTTCTAGGGTTTAGGGATTGAGGTTTAGGGTCGGTTGAGGATTTAGGGTTTCAGGGTTCGGTGTTTGGGGTTTCAGGTTTAGGGTTTAAAGTTTAGGGTTAGGGGTTTCAGGTTTAAGGCCTTAGGATTTTTTAGAGGTTTAGGGTTTAGGTTCTAGGGTTTAGGGATTGAGGTTTAGGGTCGGTTCAGGCTTTAGGGTTTCAGGGTTCATTGTTTAGGGTTTAAGGTTTAGGGTTTAAGGCTTAGGGTTTCGAGGTTTGGGGTTCGCCCTTCGGGTTTATAGGTTTAGGGCTCAGGGTTTAGGGTTTAGGGTTTAAGGTTTAGGGTTTAGGTTTAAGGTCTTAGGCATTACAGGTTTAAGGTTCAGGGAGTAAAAATGGTGTAGAGTTGGAGCTACTTTGTTTTTGCTGTTGGTCCTTGTTTTTTTGTGCATGGTCTGGGGACGGGAGGGGTCGTAGCGCGCAAAACTGCACCCCCGGGCAAACATACAAGACACAGTAAGCCCGAAACCAAATAAATGGTCCTTGCTAAAAGGATTATTTGTTTGGTTCCCGAACCAGCTGATAGCGCACAAACCGCCTGGAGCAACAAAACCGAGCCCACGCCAAAACAATTATGTCCAGCCTTGGCCCACAAAATACCAAAAATACTTGATTGATTGGACCTTTTATCAAGGCCCAATCCACCACGATGTCATCCAAAACAGAACCGAAAGAACCTGATCAAATCTGATCAAACCTGATCAAACCTGATCAAATCTGATCAAAACCTGATCAAACCATGTTTTGATCAGGTTTGATCAGGTTTGATCAGGTTTTGATCAGATTTGATCAGATTTGATCAGGTTTGTTCGGGTCGTTCCCCGTGACATAAAACCCCGGTCCAGATTTGTTTCACCCTTTTCCCAAGGGCGAAACAGACAGGAATCAAAAGGAAACACACCTCAACAAAGTGTCATTAACAGCCGACACCAACACAATGGCAGGAATTTACAATCACAAACCAAGCAAACCACGACATAGAAAGCAAGCAGACACACTGGCAGCATAGCAGGAGACCAGCAGCCCTAAACCCTAAACCCTAAACCCTAAACCCTAAACCCTTAACCCTTAACCCTAAACCCTAAACCCTAAACCCTTAACCCTTAACCCTTAACCCTGAACCCTGAACCCTGAACCCTTAACCCTTAACCCTTAACCCTTAAGCCCTTAACCCTTAACCCTAAACCCTAAACCCTAAACCCTTAACTCTAAACCCTAAACCCTAAACCCTAAACCATAAGAGACGACAACAACCAAAGCACACCACACCAAAGCACAGGAAACGACACCACAGCCAACCCAACCCAATAGATGCCAACACATCAAAACACACGAGACCAAACCACACCACATGCTACACCAAACCAGATTCTTAAGCAAACCCAACCGAGCCCAACCCAGGCCAACCCAGGCCACCCCAACGGCACAAGGATCCCTAAACCATACACATAATCATTGGTAACTGGGGTTTGGGGTCTAAGGTGTCGGGTTTAGGGTTAGAGGTGCAGGCTTTAGATGTTGGGGTTTAAGCTGTAAGGCCTTTCGGTTCTAAGGTGTAGGGATTAGGGTCGAGGGTTTAGGGCTTGGGGTTTAGGGTCGGTTGAGTGTTTAAGACTACATCTATGTATCTGTCTATATACATACATATGCATATTATAGGGTCGTACATGTGGTGTAGGGTTGGGGCTAGGGTCCGTTTTTGCTGCTCTCTCGTGGTGTTTCGTGTTGTGTCATGGTACGTGCATGCATGCAGTATTGTGTAGCTAAAGGACTGCTCCTGATCGAGATTTTTGGTCGCAGCTGCAGAGATCAAGTATATAGCTAGTGTACAGCGAATCCCCGGAGCCATGGGAAAAAACGTGAAAAGGCCATGAAGGCCAAAGGCTCTGCCTTGGTAAAAGGTAGGGCTGTGCAGCGGAAGCCGGCAGGGATCTTAAAGGTATCCCTGAAAGCCAGGAACCTAGCCAAGCTAGGGAAGCTGAAGCTGTCCGAGAAAGTCGAAGCCGTGGGAAAGGAAGCGACGGCGGAGGAGGCGGCGGCCTTGCTAAAAGGTGCCATGACGAAAAAGGAGCACAGTGCCGCCTGGAGTCGCCACCAGACGTTTCTCAACCAGAACCCCGAGGAGAAGGAAAAGTACGATGCCCTCTCCAAGACGGAGAAAGGCAATGCCACTGCCATGTTCCTTGTGAAAAAGGAGCATCCGAAGTTCCTGACGGTGCAGGAGTCCTTCTCAGCGAACAACTCCCTTGTTAAAAGGGAGGTGTGGAAAAGCGAGCAGCAAATGCTCCAGGCCTTCAGCGAACAGGAGTTTCTCCTCCACTTGGAGTCCGGAAGGATCCAGTACAGGCAGGATCCTTGGACGGCCAATGTGTGGAATTACCGGGACTTGGGTGATGTGAAGAAGCACAGCACGGTGAACTCCAAGAAGGAGTGGTCCTTGGCTCAGGAGTACAAGCCGCAAGAAGATGACGAGTCCGAGTTTCAGAAGTGGAAGAGCAAGGACCTTGCCCTTCTGCTTCAAGACGTGCAGGAAGGAAAAGGCAAAGGAAAGGGCGGCGGCGGAGGAAAGGCCTTGGGAAAAGGCGACTGGGGCAAGAAAGGCAAAGGCTCTGCCAAGGGACAGCAAGCTCTTCAGGAAAAGGAGGACAACCAGCTGGCCCTTCAGGACGGCAAAGTCGAGGAAGAGGAGACCGAGGAAAGCTGGCACAAGGCACTCGGGAAAGCCAAGAAAGCGCGAGATCAGATGTCTCGGGAAGGCTCGGATTTGGAGGCAGCAATCAAAATGGCGACCGCCAGCAAGCGACTCACGAAAGTGGCGAAGAAGGAAGCAGAGGCCACTTTGGCAGACTGCTACAAGTACCACGAAGCCCTGAAAGTTGTGCTGGTCAAGAAAGAGAAGGGGCTTTCCTTCAAGGGCCTCAAAGAGCTTCTCACCGAAGCAGCTGCGGCTGCTAAAGCCGCCAAAGACGAAGCCAAAGAGCTGAACCAGCTGGCCAGAAAGACTGCCTCGAAGGCTTCCTCGAAAAAGTGAGAAGTCTGCCTTTGCTGCAGTTTTGCTTGACAAGGGTCCTCTGCTGGAGGGCCCTCCACAGCCTTGAGAAAAGGCTCTCCTGCACTTTGAGCAGTTTTGCTTTACAAGGGCCCTACCTTGAGAAAAGGGGGCCTCGAGGTTCTCCCTGAGCGCCTGTGCGGGCGACCTTGCTAAAAGGTCGCCCTGTGACCGGTGTTGGCGACCGCTGAAAGGCTGTCGTCTCACACGTGTGTCACTGCATAGCAAATTTCAGCATCAGCCGGGGCATGGTCTTTCTAGTGGTTTTAGAAAAAGATTTCTAGATATACCCATGACTAAATACATTTGTGTTCTTGTTGCACCGGCTTATAGCTTGCTGTTTTCCGAGACCCAGCATTCCTGCTGTTCCCACTTGAAGAAACATTATATATGCTGCCGGCAAGTGTTTCGTGTAGGTCGTGTTTGCTTCCTGCTTGCTACTGAAGCCGCCCCTGCCTGCAGTTTCGGCCCCAGGTAGAGTGAGCAGAGTAGGTTCTGGGACCCTGCAGCCTCTGCACAAGCTTCACAGCACGTTCTTGGCCCCTAAAGCTTTAAGCTCAAGGCTCAGACCCTGCAGGAAAGCCTCAGCCCTAAAGTCCAGCCCTAAACTCTTCTAGCCGTGCCTTGAGGAATGGTTTTTCCTAAGCCTTGCTGAAAGGCCTAGGCAGCCTTGAGAAAAGGCTATCCTGCAGTGCTGCATGGAGACGGGCAGGAAAGCGAAAAGACTACGAGGATGGCAGCGACAGAAGGTTGAAGCTGAGGTGGCAGCTGGCGAAGCAGCGAGCCCAGACCCCTGGGAAACGGGTCTGGGCTCTGATCCTTGCGAAAAGGATCAGGAGCCGAGTGCCTTGAGCACTCGGCTCCTAGAGCTGTGGTGCAAGGGCTTGGTGTCAGCTACGATGGTAGCTGACCTGGCCCGTTGTGCCACTTTAGATGGAGCAGGCCATCCGGAGTTGGTGGCTCTGGGCCAAGCAGGCTCCTTCAGCAGGCATAAAGGGAACATTTCCCGAGACCTGCTCCGGCTCCTTGGTAAAAGGAGCCGGATGACCCCTGCCCACTTGCTAAAAGTGCAGTGCCTCGACCCGAAGTCGGGCACTAAGGACAGTGCCCAGGCCGCCATGATGTTGCCGCATGTTGTGTTTGCAGAACTGGGGCAATTTTATCCGGACGAGTTTCATGCGGTCTTCGCGACTTCGGGTTTGGCGAGCTTCTGGGATGGAGTGGAAGGTGTCCAGGACGACCGCCTGGACATGCACCCTATAGCCCTTGATAAAAGGGTTCAAAAGAAAGAT